ATGGTTAGCAAGTTGGTTTGTATCTTTTTAGGCTTTTCTCTATGTTCACACAATGTGTATTTCTCTATGTATTTTTAGAAAATGAAGATGGGATTGTATTGTATCCATGGTTTCTGTAACATGTAGAATAATGTAGCATGAACACAAACTTTTTAAAAATGCTGGATGTTTGCGGTTTTCTTCTGCCTAAGGTGCTTATTATAAAAATCAAAGATCACAGAGTCAAGTAAACATAGGAAGGAAAGAAAGTCTAAAAGAGCCCCATCTATTTCAGTATTTTAAACACAGAGCCAAAGGTTGAGAAGGAGCTCCAGCTGGCTGTCAGCTGTGGTCACCCTCAGGGTGGGGAGGAGAATGGCTGGCGGGGGAGGGGGGGGGGGCGCTTCTGATTTGTCAGCGTGGTGTAGATTTATAGTGAGAATATATTTTTGTATATTAATTTTTAGAAAATTTTGTAATGAAAAAAATTTTAAAGGAAAAGCTGGAGAACTATGTCCCACCCCACCCCCCAAAAATGTGGGGGAAGAAGTAGGCCAAGTGTAAGTTTGCTGTATTCCCATTGTGAACAGCCTGATAATATATTCTTCAGACCTTCCCCAGCCTGTGTGCATGCACACACACACACCCACACACACACACCCACATACCCACGCACACCCCTTATTTCTGTAACAATGGTAACATGCTCTAGGTTTTTTTTTTTAATAACAGCTTTATTGAGATATAATTCACATGCGATAAAGTTTGTCTTTCTAAAGTATACAGTTCAGTGGTTTTGTAGAATATTCAGAGTTGTACAACCTTCACCACTTTCTCGGTCCAGAACATTTTCATCACCCCAACAAGAAACCCCAAGCCCATCAACAGTCACTCCCCAGCCACTCCGCGGCCTTGCCCAGCCCCTGGGCAACCACTAATCTACTTTCTGCCATTATGGATTTGCCTATTATGGACATTTTATGTAAATGGTATCCTACATTGTGTGGCCTTTTGTGACTGGCTTCTTTCACTTAGCATGAACATTTTCAAGATACATGTGGTATCAAGTATGAGTACTTCATTTTTTTCGGTGGCTGAGCGATATTCCCTCGTGTGGATATACCACATTTTGTTTGTCCATTTATCAGTTGGTGGACATTTGGGTTGTGGGTTTTGTTGCGCGAGTTCCTTCTTTTCCTTACCAAGATGTCTCAGAGACTTCACCATGTCCGGAAATCTCACTCCCCTCCGTCCTTTGTAAAAAGGCTTTATATGATTTCATTCCTTTATATGTGGTGGCTGGGACCTCCTAGTGCGCTGGCCCCCTGTCACCCCATTTCCTCTCTCCAGGGAGTCTGCAGTGCTTGAAGAGGCTGTGGTCACCTGAAGCGGCTCAATTTTGTAGGGAGAGGAAGGGGTTCGCCCAGGATCATAAACTCAGTGTTGTGGGGTTGCCAGAGTTCAGCTCCCAGCTGAGGCCACCCTTACCCCTCAGCTTGTGCTAAGCCAGCCCTGGATCTGCAAGCCTGACCAGCTGTCCCCAGAGCCCCCACCTCACCACTCACTCCATGCCCATGTGTCCCTCTGAGCAACCCCTTCCCAGGCGCCATTTGTGGGAGGGGCTGTTTGTGAGGGGAACCTGTTTTGTGGCATCACCCCATTTCCTACCTTCTCCTCCTCAATTTTGAAAGATCCCAGATCAGCCCTTCTCAAATACTGGCTCTTCGCTCTTGGCACCCAGCATCTGAAATATCAGCCTCTGTCTTCCTGCCTCATTTGAATTTCAAAAGGTCTCTTTAGGATTTGATTGGGCTCCAAGATATACTTCAGACCCCAGCTGGAGTTCATTTCCCTGGCTCTCTGGTTCCAGCCTGGGCTGCGCAATAGAATCAACCTGGGAAGCTGTTTAAAAATACCGATGCCTGGGACCCACCCTGGACCAGTTATAGCAGAATCTCTGGGACCTGGAGGATCAGCATTTTTTTGTTTAATTTCCCCCAGCTAATTCTGATGTGCGCCCGGGGTTGAGAACCACTGTGCTCCCTCCACTCTGGCCCTCATCAAGGAAGGCACATTTTTTCCTTCCCAAGTCTTGGGAACTATATCAAGAGCTTGGTCAAGAACTGGCCCCAGGTCAGCTATGGATTTGCTGTGGGACCTTTCTCCCCCACCTTCAGCGAGGTGGGGGCTTGGATTAGGTCAGTGGTTCTCACCTTCAGGGATGGGTATGAGAGGTGGGGGGCTAGGGAAGGATGTATTCAAACACCTGGGAGCATTCTCAAAAAATACTTGTTGAACTTGAAAAGTCAAAGGCAACCTAAGTGTGGTTTTATACACTAATAAATCATCCGTCTCATGGGAAGGAGTGTTCAATAGACTCATGCATCTAACTGAATGACTTATATATTTTTTTCTTTTTTTTTTAAAGATTTTATTTATTTATTTGACACAGAGAGAGTGAGCACAAGTAGGCAGAGCGGTAGGCAGAGGGAGAGGGAGAAGCAGACTCCCCGCTGAGCAGGAAGCCCGACGTGGGGCTCGATCCCAGGACTCTGGGATCATGACCCGAGCTGAAGGCAGACGTTTAACTGACTGAGCCACCCAGGCGCCCCTAACTGAATGACTTTTAAAATTTATTTAAAAAAAAATATAAGGGGTGCCTGAGCGGCTCAGTCGGTTAAGCGTCTGCCTTCAGCTCAGGTCACGATCCCAGGGTCCTGGGATCAATCCCCATGTCGGACTCCCTGCTCAGTGGGGAGACTGCTTCTCACTCTCCCTCTGACTGCCACTCTCTCTGTCAAATAAATAAATAAAATCTTTGAAAGGTTTTTTTAAAGATTTTATTTATTTATTAGAGCACAGGGGCAGAGGGAGAGAGAGAATCTCAAGCATACTCCCCGCTGAGCGTGTTGTGGGGGATGTGGGGGGAGCTCGATCCCATGACCTTGAGATCATGACCTGAGCTGAAATCAAGAGTCTGTCTCTTAACCAACTGAGCCACCCAGGC